AACAAAAGACCAGGCTGCTGGGCATTACTGAGATTTTTCACTCTCAAAAGTGGTGATAATCCAGCCTTGTTTTGAAACCGTATACCACGGTTTGAGGCATTTAGAGCAAGCGGATTACCACCGGGGACAAAAGCTCTCCACCATCGCAGTGATGAGCCACACAGCACCGCTGCACGCTAATCTGGCCCCTATTGAAAAGAGGTCAGCAGTGCACAGTGCCGGTTTCGGGAACAAAAGAATCTTACATAACACCGCACAATCTGAGCTCTTTATCCAAGGCTGCAGGCCTGGCTGAAATATTCAGGAGTCAATGAATTTTACCTGTCAGGTTTAGAGTAGTGCCCAAAGAGTCGTTCATTTTGGTATAAATGGCCATTAAATGAAATGATGAATTTTTGAAGAATTTTGAAAACGGAAAATCTTGAAAAGGACCCGGCATCTTGTCTTGCTCAAAAAAATCCGCCCGGCAGCAAGTGGTTGACCTCGCTTTCAAATTCAATATCCCTGGCCCCATGAATAAAGTCTCTCGAGTCTTCTGTCCTATCCGGCATGGTTTGTGTTGAATTCTTGTACTGTCCTCAGCTGGCTCCCATCAAGTTGAGCAGATACGGGGAGGATCTCTTGTTCTATTTGTACTACACGCACGGTGGGGATGTGTTACAACTGGCGGCAGCCGCTGAATTGTAAGTCAACTCAAACGGCCGAAGCTTAACCCATCTCGATTCAATTCCGCCTGTCCCGTACCCACCTCTTCAAACTCAATCAGCGTAACACCTAGAACAGCAACTCAGCTGACTAAGCTAATGCAGCTACAGTAAAATCTCGATAGCTCAGTCGGTTCACTCGAAACTCTGCTTAACTCGAAGAATAATTAGTTTCAGCCAAAAGAATGGGCTTTTACATGTAATTCTATTCCAATCCCGATGTTTCAGTCCAACCTGATAAAATGCAGTCCAGCCTTACGTAGTAATAAATGTCCAACCCAACCCAACCCAACCCATCCAAAGCAACCCAACTCAACCCAACCCAACCCAACCGAATCAAATCCAACCCAACTCAACTCAGCTCAGCCCAAAGCAGCTCGACCCCACCCAACTCAGACTTTAGACAGTGGCTGATCCTCTAAGCCCCACCAGCATTCACTCTCCAAATCCACTTCTCTTCCCCCCCCTTGGGAATCCCTCTTCACAGATACAACCGAGACTGGCGATACCACAAGGAGGAGAGGGTGTGGATCACGAGAGGCCCCATGATGGAGCCCCAGGTCAAGACCAGCCTGTACGAGCGGGGCCTGTACTACTACTTTGACCACCAGCGCTGGTGCAAAGTGGCCAAGGAGTTCCACCTGGACTACGACAAGCTGGAAGAGCGCCCTCACCTGCCCGCCTCCTTCCATCACAACGTGTCCACGAATCCCGTCATGGCGCACTGACGCGATGCGGCAAGATCTGCGTCGGGCCGGGGGAACTTTTTACGGCGGCTAGCACGCGTTCTGGGACTCGTTTACGTTTTTTTTTTAATATTTCTTTTTTCTTTTCATCAGAGGTTTGGACTTTTCCCGAGATTCTCGTCTCCATAGAAATTCTCAGGAATAGCAACAATGCAACTTTCTAAAAGAAAGAAGGGACAGAAAGGAAGCAAAACTCTACAGAAAGGTTGTGAGAATTGGCATTCCGTAAATCTTCAACAAAGAGAATTTTCCACAATGTTAATCCCATCAGAACTCGTTCTTTCGTTGTAACAGTTAAAAGCCGCCATCTTGCTTAAACTTATCTCCTTGTTGTCCACAATGCTCATGCAATTAAAAGAAAAAATCCACTTATTCTGAACTGGACACGAGCCGTGAGGAAATCACTGAGGCGATGGACATGGAGAACCTACTTTATGTTTGAAACTCAGCAGTGGGAGTTGTCCTTTTTTACACATTAAGAAAATCAGCTAACCAGAGATTTAGATACAAGATTGCAGTTCTTGTTTACCCACAATCCTTTGTCCACTTCAAGATTTTGTGCTAACTGATCGGCCAGTACCGACAGTATGTTGTTAAGGCAGGTTTGTGTGAAAGAGAAACAGGCCTAGGGCCATATTCAGACCCAGATACCACACCTCACACATTGCACAAGGGCACCATTATAACCGGTACCCCGCAGGCCTTTTAAGTTACACCAGAGAGCAAGTTCTTTCTGGAACTGCGTGGTGGACCATAGTCTGACTCACTCTGATCGGCGATACTCCAGACTGGTGGTTAGAATAGCATTACCAACTATCTGGAACAGGCCTGCATGTGATAAGTCGGTGTTCTAGTTACCAGCAGCTACGCACATGAAAATGTGTAGTGGGAACCAGGATCACTGGTTACTGTGACTATGATTGACCACAGAGCGACTCAGAAGTTGGCTGTCAAATTATACCAAAAATATCTCAAATTTACCACTAGTAGTCCAATAGCTCTGGACTGAACGTGCTCCAACTTGCACATTGTCTAAACCTATCACTCCAGCTGGTACTGCAGGTCATAACCAGTCAGGAGGTAAAAAGTATCCCCAAACACCCCGCTCCCCACGACTTCTTTTCTAAACATTCTGCTGTCTTCACTTTTAGCTCTACTAATGTGCGGAAGGAGTTTTCCAGGAGAGTTTACCCTAGTTTTTTCCTTCCATCCATAAAAAAAATATCAAGTTGAGCTTACAGACCGAAGGTTGTAGCAGTTTTTTCGTTGGATCGTCGCGTAAGCAGTTGGAAAAAGCTATAACATGCCCTTATTTCCCACCTCCTTTTGTATTTACAATTCAGGATAGGAAAAAAGACATAGGCCTTAAAATAATGTTTTCCAGTATCATCTTGCATTTTTTCAGTATCGCCTCGTATTTTTGGCAATTAACATTTCTCAAGATTGGGACATGATTTGTACATGTATTGGAAGAGTCTACTTATCGGCTTAGTATGCCAAATATTTTGGCTTTTCCTCAGTCACGTTGTGCTGCTGTAGAAAGATGTACAAATAAAATCTCCATACAGTAAAACTTTATGTGCGAGTATGGCGGGTTTTGTATACCACTGTCGTGCTTGTATTTCCCCTGTTCGCACAATAGCTGCCAAAAATGAGATTTTTCCCAGATTGTCTACTTGTGTCATTGATTGTATGTACTGTCCTGTCGTGACTGTATTGCTCTGTCTTGAGCAAAATACAAATATGAGGGTCCAAACTGGATTCAGTGTCCACAAGAAGCCTGTGAAATCAGAGTGGTTTAGTCAGAAGACGACAATGAAACATTTATGTCTGGATTTCGAGAATTATGCCACGAGTCATCGATCCTTAGTTCTAATTTTCGGAAGAGCGCCACCGCGTGACGGTAATCAACATAAATGGGGCCGGGGATGATGGCGAAACAGGGTGAACGACGACAAGGAGAGGCTGACAGACAGGCCGATGATTTCAACATGTCGGGGTTTTCAGAACTCCCCGATGATCTAGATGATCATTTCATGGCCTCAAAGGACTCGAAGCACACGAGGGCAGTTGTAGCAACCTCTGTGAACGTTCTGTCGGACTACTGCACCAAGTCCGCGGATTGTTCCACAACCCTAGCGGGCGTCGAGCAGATGACACCGCGGGACCTGTGCCAGTTCCTCCGGTCGTTCTACAGCGGCGTCCGCCAGAAGGACGGGTCGTTTTACGCCCGCCGCTCGATGCTCACCCTGCGGTACGGGCTCCAGAGACACTTCCAGAAGCTGCTGCAGGTGGACATCGTCAACGATGCCACTTTCAAGGGGGCAAATGATGTATTCAATACCGTTCTTGCCAATCTGAAGACTTCGGTCAAAATGAACCACGTCCGCAAGAAAAACATGGCAAAGATACGATCCTCCTCTGCAACTGACTGCTCCACCCCGAGGGGCCTGCAGAACACTGTGTTCCTCGACCTGATGCTCCACTTGGCTTGCTCCACCTATGGCCGCCACAACCTCCGCGGGATGAAGAAGTTGGACTTCATGGTCATGATGGACCCCATGTCGAACCGAAGGTACGTGTGCTTCGCACACCCGGCGAGCAAACACTTAGCGGGCAGCGCGGGGATCCAGTCAGACGAGAGTGACGATGACCAGGTCAATGACTACTCTGGCAATTTCCATCGCATGTATGAGACACCGGAAAAGCCCGACAGTTGTCCCGTCAGGTGCTTTGAAAAGTATGCGTCTAAGCTGCACCCCATGTGTGGTGCGTTCTGGCAGAGACCCAAAAAGGCGTACATGTATTCCCAAAGCGACAAGTATTGGTACGATGCCGTACCACTAGGGAAGAATGCTTTGGGAAATAAAATGCGAGATATCTCAGCGGAAGCCGGCTGCTCTACCATGTACTCCAACCAGTGCTTAAAAGTCACCGGGAAAATGATGAACCATGCAAGCCATTCCGGTGATTAGTGATCTATCATTTGTTGGTAGCACTTCCAGAACTGTGAAGTTTATGAAAACCTTTCAGATAGCCATGTACAACCTCCCATAAAAACATTTGTCTGTTTTGATTGTGCCAACATACTATGAAAAGCCCCACGGTGATTGGTCCAATTTGCTTCCATTCCAATGACCAATCAGAGCTCAGCTTTCATTTGGATGGGGTCATGAAAACAAAAGGGAAAGGTATGAATATCGACAAGAATATAATATCAAATCAGTGCTCTGAAATATGTGATTGCCAAGCTTTCGAACTGAATCTGCTTGCCCTGAAGAAGGTACTCAGTTACCAAAAGCTCGGCAATCACATATTTCAGAGCACTGATTTGATATTATATTCTCGTCAATATTCTGATCATGGTGCTACGCAGCCCTTCCATATTTTTAGGGAAAGATAGGAGCTGTGTTGCGATTGGTCAAGCTATCACACAGCTGACAGTTACTGAGAGTACATACTGCTGATTTTCTGTAGTTTGGATGGGTAAAATGCGCAAGAATTTCACCATTTCAATGAGGACATAAGGTGAATAAAATGAAATTTGGTAGCACAAATAGCTGTGATGGCAAAGTGACATGGCACAATCGAAACGGCCAAAATGTATTTATGCGAGTTTGTACATGGCTATCTGAAAGGTTTGCATAAACCTTACAGCTCTATAAGTAATTTGTTGGGACAAATGTGTTAGGGTGAAGGTAATTCCAGAAATTAGGGGTCCATTTTTTGGTGTCCCTGTCACATCTGACATATAATTTTGTAAGTTCCGAACACATTTTCTAAGAGTGATGAATTATTGCAAATGACCTGCCAAACAAATAGTAATAGTTTGAAATCATTTCCGGTGATATTCCCATGTCAACTAACAAAGGTCAGATGTAACAGACACGAAAATATCCCACTTTTGGACCCCTAATTTCTGGAATTACCTATATACAAGAATTCCACTTCCACTCATCATTTTATGACTGTCATCATAAACACCAAAAAGTTCGAAAAGAGATGTCTGTTAATTTTAGGGGAATTGTAGCATGGAAAGAACGTTTAGTACGTTAATATGGTACAGCAAAATGAAAAGTCGGTGCTGTTGGTGACACTTGAAATTCGTTGATTGTCCAATATGGAATTCTGTCCCATGTAACGAACCCAATACACTATTTAACCCTGGCTCTGGTGTGCTGCCATTGTTATAGCCCGACTTTGGAATGGCTCCACGTCCCAAGCACCACCACAGTAACGGCCCGTATACACCTCAGCGACACGTGCTAGTTGTTTAAGACATGGGTAGTCCTCTGGGCGTGAGGCAGGTGTGAGACACCGTTTGACATCCTGTGCACAAACCCTATGAGACTGGTCTGAAAAATTCTGAGTGTTTTCTCAGTAAACGACTTGGTCTCTTTTCTCCTAAATTAAACTTTTTCTGGACATGTTTTTGCTTTCTGATGGCTAACAGGTCGCTGTAGGAAATAATTACGGCCGTCTGTATACAGAATTCTTACCTATATAGTCCTATGGATGTGAGGCACCAATCTGGACAAGCTTGAGAAATTAGGTATCGATTTGCTGTGGTCCGGCCAGTCCAAGTTCTGCAGCATTCTGGTCAGATCCATCCCAACAATAGTTGGGGCCGATGCCGTAAGTTGGGGCATGATATCTTCCGAAATACTTCAATGTAGAAATCAAATAATTCTCTGTTGACAAAAACATCATAAGTACCACTCTGCCCCTAATTTGTTAACGGTGCCCTTTGCTTGAAATCCATGACAGGCTGCAGGGCAAAATGTAACAACCACTATTACGGTGAAATCATGACATCGTCAGAGGAGGACGACTCGGAAAGTGAGAGGGATGAGCCAAATAGTGGCGTGCCGCAGAATGTCCAGCAAGAAAATGGTATTTGTAGCACTGGTGTGGTCAAGACCCCTCAAGACTATCACGAGACTGTCTTCTCAAGACCTCCAGTCTGAATTCAGATCAAGTCTCAAGCTTTTAATATGAACTGCAACAAAAGTATAACTTCCTTTGTCACTGTTCACCCTGTTACTTAGGAGTGGTCTTGAAAATGACCTTGTGTCTAGTCATGTGTCTGGTCTTGTGTCTGGTCTTCTGGCTGGTCTTGTGATTGGTCTTGAGAATGGTCTTTTGACTGTTCATGTGACTGGTCTTGCGACTGGTTTTGTGACTGGTTATGTGTCTGGTCTGGTGAATGGCTTTGTGAGTCAAAATGGTCTAGGGCATGCTCTTGTGTGTGGTCTTGACACTGCCTTTGGCGCTTGCTGTGTTTCAAGCGATTTTGTGCGTGATCGTCTCAAAGTGCAGTGGGTGGCTGGTCTCCCTCCCTCCCCCTCCAGAAAGGGAGGTTGGGGAAATTGAACGGAGTGGGAGAAGGTCCCAAGAACCAGTTTTGTTGGGCCCAGGTTATTCCTTGTATGGGGAGCACGACCCCTGTGCTTAGGGTAGCTAACACCTGTAGATAAAGTTCTTGTGACAACTCTGTACAGTGACACTCATTGATTGGATTTTATTCAGGGTGAAACAACTCACATGTACTCATTTAAATTTGTGGTTGTTCCAGATACGTGTAACGTGGTCATGTCCGTGGAAAGTCGAGTAGACGGCCAAGAGTGCAATGCTGTTCCCATTAAATTGGAAGAAGACAAATTGCCGACGGATCACCAGTAAGTAAAGGGGCTCTTCCATTGTTGGCATCGTTGCCTCAAATGATGATGACCACTTGTTATTTTTTCATGTGCTTTTTACATGCGTTTTAAAAATGACATCAAAATAGATCGCTGCAAAATTGATGCGCAAAGCAAATTACCATTTCTCAAACTAAGTAAATCTTGGGGGAAAACTGGTTTGGTGAAACTGATTCTTTGTACTTATTTTGGAATGTGAAAAAAATTGGATATTTCTTCCTGCAAACATGCTTAAATGTTGGCTTAACCACTTGCTGCCAGCCGCTTTTAAAAATGCAGTGCACACATACGGGAGATTTTCAAGATTCTTCAAATATTCATCATTTCATTTAATTTACACCCACACGAATGACTGTTTAGAGGCTACTCTAAGCTGACAGGCAACCTTCATTGACTCCTGAGTATTTCAGCCAGGCCTGCCACCCTGTAAAGAGAGCCCAGAATTGTGAGGTGTTGTGAAATATCCTTTGTCCCCAGTGAATGTGAATGGCGTCTTTTCAAACGCGGCTAGATTAGCATGCAGTGGTGCTGTGTCACTTATCAATGGGGCCCTGGAGCACTTTTGTCCGCAGTGCTAATCCATGGGCGCACTATGCCCAAAACAGTGGTATACTTTTTAAAAACAGTGACGGATTACCTTCGAATAATGCAAGATTGCCGAAAAATGATGGCAATTCCCAGCAGCAGGTCTTTTGTTCCGAGTACAGTCTTTTGTTACACGGACCAGCTCTTTTGTCCGATTTGGCAGCCCGGCTCTGCGTATAGACCCATAGTGCTCTAAACAGGGCTCTCCAGCAGCAACTGGTTAAAAATACATGTACAATTGTAACTTGATTGTTCTGATTTGCAGGCAGACAAGTGGCTCCTGTAACCATACTGCTCATTGTGGAATGGAGCACGAGTTGAATGTACCATCCATTAGAAGAACGAGCTTCACTACAGAAACTCCAAGCCAACTGTACCCAGTTCACATCAACGTCACTCCAAACTATGGCAACCCTCATCAGGGACCTGCTGATCAACAGGAGAGGGAGCACTCCTTGAATGGCATTGACCAGGATGCCTGGTGCGTCGAGAGAACCTGGGTGGATGAGAAGAGCCAGAGAAAGTGGCTACTCACTAAGAGGAAAACGACAAGGTCTGTAGAGCAAGATGCCTGGAGGCAGGCGGTGGAACTGCAGACTCAGAGGAATGCCACTCTGACAGGCCACCTGGGTCCCTTACCAATTCGGGATCTGGGCAACCCAGACGCCCGATCTGCTGTGGAAGTCTCGTCCAATCTTCGCGCCGGCAGCTGCCCTCTGGCCGATGGGCCATCGCCATCCTCCTCCTCATCAGGGGATGACTTCATTGCACCGGGGCTGCGATCCCTACAATCCCTCAACGGTGTCAGAAGTGGGATACAGGCTCAACCGGCAGAGGACGATGAGCTCCTCCAGCTTCAGAAGACGGTCCTGATGATGCAGCAGAAGAATCTGGCCCTGGAGAGGCAGAAGATTAAACTGGAGATGGCCAAGCTGGAGGCAGAGAGGCTCAAGCTAGAGGCAGAGAGACGCAAGTTGAGCATCGAAGGAGACAAACTCCAGCGGGAGTTGCTGTAGACTGTTGAGATGCACTTTTGGACTTCGTACCGATTTTGGCAAAAAAAAAAAGCTGCATTTCCTTTCACAGATACTGGTCCATTCCAGCTTCCACAAATCATTTAAGCTGGGCTGGCAACAGTGAACAGGAACTCTTCAGAAAGAGAGACTTCAATGAAACCCCAGAGACCATTCTGTAACTGTCATGTTATTCTGCATCTCAGGGTAATTAATAAGCTATTCCGTTCACTGTGATCCTTTTACAATATTTTGTGATTTGGTGTTTATTTTGCCTAAACTCTCAAATGCACTTGATCTATGGTTGCCCAATAAAGTATAATTTGTGCTATTTGACAGTGCTACTGTTAAATGCTGTTTGTTCCCTCTGATTTCTCTCGCTTCTGCGTCAAGTGTTTAAAATACAAGAGCATTAAGAAACTCACAGTACATGTGGTCAAAACATTTCCTCATGGCATCCAGTTTATTCTCCAACGACTGCAAGTCACTGTCTTAGTAACATGTCACACATTAACAGCAACAATTGTCTGGATGAATTGGACCTGCAAAATTACAATGTCAGACTCCTATATTGCATTGGACTGTTACCAAGGTGAATGGAAAAAATACAATATGAACATTCATCTGGATAAAGGTCTTTAAGCCTAATACACATGTACTAGCCAGCAGCCCATTCCAGCTTTTGGTGGTGGCGGCAAGTCCAAGAGCAAATGCGGCTTCAGGTTGATTCAGCATTTTGGGGAGAAAAAAATCCAAAATCTTACGATCCCGACATCCTTGCTTGTATTTGCCGATGTTGATTTCTTAGGGTTTTGGTGCTAATATTTCATAAATAAATAAACCAATTGCATTCTTTCCCACTCGCCTGTGAAGTGGTTCTTTCAAAACTAAATCTGTCAGGGGGACAGGTTACCCCCCCCAGCCGGATATGCCACTGATATCTGGTACGTGTATTGCATTCTTGCGTGGTTAAAAAAAAAAGGGTAAAAACAGAGTAAAAGAGATGTAACAAAGGATTTCAAAGCTTCCAGACTAAGTCAAGTTTGTCTAACCATCATCAAACAAGCCTGGAAAAATCCCTGTCGTGTACAGGTAATGGGTGGGCCACCAATCACACAAACCATTCATCTCACTGCTCTGTGAAGTTACCGTGCACTTATGATCCACAGTCTGCAGTAACTACAATGATCCAACAATCTCTGATCCCCCCCAAAAAAGAGCCCAACTTCCGAGGCCATTCTGGTATTTATTCAGGCATAAAACAAATTATGAAGCCACACATGTACGGTGTACCAGAAGGAATATATCATTTCAGTGACAGAATCATCTGTTCCTCTCAGCTAAGCCTTGTGGAGTGGAACATTCCATCTGTCGCCTGGTGAAATTATTCTTGCCAATGCACAAATAAGAACCATTCTTTGTTGGCGCAACTACATGTACATATTTCAGCGCTGGGAAAAGTAAGAGCCAACACTTCAACAAGTCTGAGTAATGTTTCGATTCTTATGCCAACTAAAAAAGTGGTCAATATTTCAAGAGCGGACATAATGGAGAATTTGGGAGGAGTGAGGTTACATCCAACGTTAGCACAGATGCGGTTGGGGACTTTGAAGGGCTTTTGCAGAGAAATAGAAAATGTCTTTGGGGTTAGGGTTTGAAGCTGACAGAATGGTTGTTGCACTTAAATAAATCTAAATAACTAAATGGTATGCTAGTCCAATCTCTTTGGGCACAAATGAGGTTAGGTTTGTTTCCAGATGCAACTGTTGGAACGTTCCAGAGGTCGCACACACGCAAAAACTCTGATGGGTACATGTACAAAAGAATCGCTCGTGCTGAAAGTCTAAATCTGAAACAGCCAACTACCCTAAATATGACAAGGAAGCTTCAACCTAGACTGGCATACAAACTCTAGTGAAGCCTGCTGCAGGTTTAAATGGTAAATGGACTCTATCTTGTCCAGCGAGCATGTAGAGAAACACTAACCTGTTTGAAAATCTCATTTGTCTTGTAAAGATAAATAAAAGAACGATTACAAATAATTGGAATTTTGATTGTTGTATATTTTTAACAGTAACAGCCTTTAATCCTTCACTTGTAAGATTTAAAATTGACAGCATGGCTCCACAGTAGCGGTGAAAAAAAAAGAAGTTGAAAAAAGCCCAAAGTTAGTTTTGCCAAAACTGTCCAGTGGGCTTGTGAAAGCTCCTGTGGGCGAGTACAAAAACGAAGGGTTTACTCGTCTGGTGGGCTGGCTAAAACATGCTTAGGGTTGAGGCCAGACAAGCGACATATGTTTGCAAAGTCTATGGGAATATGAAAATGCCGGAAGTCATTTGTGCGAAACATCTGTGTGCTCGTAAAGATAAATGATTCGCATCATAAAAGCCAGTCAAGGTCAAAGTGAATGTAGTGTCGCTAAAAAAAATCCCGTGGGATAGTGAAAATTCCTGCGGGTTAGTAAACAAACGTAAGTTAACTTGCCTGGCGCACTAGTTAAGAAAGGCTTGAGGTTGAGACCAGACAAGCCGCATGTGTTCCCAACATCTATGGGAAAATGAAGTCATTCGTGTGAAACAGCTACATGCAGATAAAGATAAATGATTCGCATCAATGAACTGTCTGGGAATTATGTAAAGTGTCTTGCTGGTGTAAAACATCACTAAAATGTGACAATAGAACAATGGTGAAAGCATCGATTGGAATGTGAAAAAAGAGTCGCTCAGTATGCATACATTAACATATTCACCGCCTCATTGTGTGAAAATGTCGAAACTGAACTGGAAAACAAAGTACATGAAATATTCACCGTCTAAACAAATAATGTTGCACAAGGCCTACGGCAAGTCTATTATGAGCATCTTCACACACACACACAAATGAAAATTGGACCAAGAAAAACTCTTCTAACTTTCCTCCTCCAGCATATGGCTTTGGTTGAAACTTTCAATCTCTGACTTCTATACACTTCAGACCAAAATCTCAACCTTTTTTTTTAAGGAATACATGTACATGTACAATGATTGCAATACAGGTTAAGAAAAAATAGCAAGCAATACTGGCGAGTTAAAGGTGTGACTGGCTACAGGGGTAGAAATATCCAGGGTTAGGTTCACAGCGAGGGGAGATTTCTCCGTGCTACCCCATGTTATCTCTCTCGTTACGGTGTGACTTGCATGGTACATAATGTACATGTATGTCCACGGTTGCACATGGAAGGAAACGGGTTCAATCTGCATAGCGTGTGCAGCATTTTAGGGTGATATTCTGAGAGGACATCAGGGGGGGGTACACACAGTTTTTTTTCCAGGGGTCCCTGAAAACGAATGAGCTGTGGCTTCTAAACAGGCCATGCACACCTCCAAATTTCAAAGTGGGATCTGGGGGGACACAAACCCGAAATTATGCCCCTGTTGACCCACCTATATATGTACGATATCGCATACATGTAGATGGCAAAAACTACAAAGGAGTTCTAAAAATCTTATAAAGATTATAAAAACTTCTGAGTATAAAATATTTATGAGGACACACACGTATATTTACACATGTTGTACTTGAATTGCATGATTAGAGGCAAACATGTTGGCAGATTGTGGCACAATATTTAAATACTTGAATAGTCATGAACAACCCTTTTGCCATTTGCCAGAGCTTTTAAACTCATTGGTGTAATTAAGTTATTTTGTTCCCAGATTACTCACTCTTGTCATTGTATTGAGGCGCTTGAGTTGTTCATCCTGACGTCGGTGAGTCTAGAGAAGCTTAGGGGCTAACTCCCTCCTCTCATTCTCAGCGTCTCCGCCTCCAACTTGGCAATCTCTAGTTCCATTTTCCGTCTCTCCAGAGCCAGGTTGGCCCGCTGCATTCTCAGCACCTCCTTCTGCAGATGGAGGACTTCGCCATCGGCTGTCGCCGCCGATGCCGCTATCCCACCGCTGCCACCAGTCAGAACCGGCTGGGCATCGTTTGCAGCCCATGCTGCTGGTGCACACCTTCCACGTCCAACTGTGCACTGGCCAGGAATGACTTCTTTAGCGGCGGGTCTCGGCATGTGATGGCCGGCCCTCTGGATGCGATCCCCTGCAAATTGCATGGACAAGTTTGGCTGCTGTGTGCTCTGGGTGGTCTGAATCAGGAAGCCCTCCGTCGGATTTAAGTTCCCTCGGATGTGCTCACCAGTGCTACCCCGCAACATACTCGGCTCCCCGGGGCTTGCACTGCCTTCTCTCAACAGCCACCTCTCCTGCTTGTTCTCAAACTCTCGAGTCAGTACCCATCTCCTCCCACAGTGTTCATCTCGCCAAGTCCTCTCGACCCTCCAGGCACCAAGATCTTCGCCGTCTCCCTGGCTCCTCCTGGGCTGCCCCAGGCCGAGATGACCTTGCGGGATGCTATCCACGTGCACGGTGACGGCATGGTCCGGCTGCACTGAACTCTGCCTCTGAACAGGGTAGGTGACACTACACACTGGCGGTGAAGCGTACAAGACTCCACTTTCCACACTGTGCCCAATATGATCAGATGACCTAATGGCAAAAAAATCAAAGGAGAGCAGGTCTTCATTTTATATTAAACCATGATTAAACCCAGTCCTTCATCTTCCAACAGGTAAAGTGTTGAGGCCTGTTAGGCTTGAGGAAAATAAGGAATCTTTCCTTTGTAAATGATGCACAAAAATGGCGCCTTAACTTACATACAATGGGTGTTGCCGGGTGATAGATCATTCCTCTCTGATCCAGGAGAAGCATCTCTGTGCGCAATCTCGTGCCTGTCCATCTCCTCCTCGACAGCAACTTTGCCATGTCAGAAAGATGGAAATGAATAACATCACACTGATTTATAGACTTTCAAAGAGTTTGTCGATATAATCCTGTTTGACTCGGCAGTGTCTCATTTCTGTCCACAGAGTCCACAAAAAAATAACTCTTTACCTGGTTCATCTTTCAGGAATTTCAACTTCTCTTGAATTTCGTCTTTCTTCAATCCAGCACCAGAGGGCGTTGTTCTGCCTTGGAGACCAGCACTGATGACTTCTCTCGGGGGAAGGAAATGCTGCGCCGAGCAGATGCAAGAACAACCTGAATCAAAGAAATTCCAATTTCACACAAATGCTCAATCTGACTTTCATCTCCTAAAAAACCAAACAAACCCCTTGACAATGCTAAATTTTTAATAACAGTAAAAATAACGAACATCACATTAATCTTCATGAAATGAAATTTCAGAAGACTTCTCAAGACATGAAACCAACACAGACAGCACTTACAAGTAAGCTGTCTACATTATTAAAAAATCACTTAAAATCTAATTGGATGTCAAATAACAGTTTAGTAAATGAGGGTTTATGTTTGAATCAATCTGACCCTTTTTTTTCAAATAACGTACCTGATGTTGTCATTCTTAATGTACATGCTCTACTCGTTACGTTCAAACACATATTGGAGTAGATCATTGAGCAGCCAGCCAGACTAGAGATGTCTCTCATCCTATAGCCGAGACTGTTCACCCCGACGGCCACACCGTCATACCAGTAATTATCGTTCCGCTTGTACTTTCGAGGCCGTTGCCAGAAGGCGTCACAGCTGGGGTCCAGCTTGGCCATGTACTTCTCGAAAGTCATCACGGGACAGTGTGCGGGATTTTCTAGGGCCTCGTACATGCGGGCGTTCTCATTGCTGCACTCCTCATCACTGTTGTCTCCGTCATGTCCGTCGTCACCTTCCCTATCCTTGTTCAAACTGAGATGACCTTCCCCAATGTTGCCTATTTTGTCCCTACAGGCAAAGCAGACAAATCTTCGGTTCAAGGTGTCATCAGTCAAGATGACAAAATCGGACTTCTTCATTTCACGAAGGTTGCCACGACGCCCGTAAGCAGTGCAACAGAAGTGGAGCATCAGATTGAGGAAGACCGTGTTCTGGAGGCCTTTGGGAGTCGAACAATCTGTCAGGTAGGAGGAACGAATCTTATCCATGTCCTCCTTGGAGATGAAATGAACATTTCTCTCCTTTTTTTGCTTTTTCCACGGGAAGATGGGCACGTCATTGTCGACAGGAATGGCGTCAAGGACTTCATTGGCTTGCCTGAAGGCTGCATCATTGATAATGTCAACGAGAAGAACTTTTTGGAAGTGATTTTGGAGGGCTTTCCTCAGCGCAAGCAGTGAACGCTTCGTGTACGGACTTCCGTCGGGCTGGCGTGCTTCGGCATAGAAAGCCCCGAGGAAACGGCACAGCTCCCCCAACGGCATGCGCTCAACGTCGGCCAGAGTCGTACCTTCGCACAAGGCACAGTAGTCCGCAAAAGTCCTCATGGAGGCTTCTGTCATGGCCTTGGTGAGCTTTGCATCCCCGCAATCGATGAAACTATCTGATACATCTTGGTCAGAGAGCTCGGGAAATTCGGTTAAACTGACAAATTCTGCAGACGGACCGTCCTCATACTCTTCCCATGCGGCCATGTTTACGTTCTTGGTGGCGCTCTTTGAAACTGGCGAACACAGAAAAAGTTCGTGATGCATAAAGAAACATACACGCTTCAACGATTCCAAAAGATGTTGGCATCATATGCGCAGGAAGAAAAAGTTTCAGCGTTGAATCAACACTTAACTGTCAGCTAATGAGAACACACGAATAAATTGTTCTGAAAGTTGATAGTTTCGTTAGTGGTCAAGTATCGACTGAAGTGTCCCGTTTTTCGCCACAGTGTCTTCACAACCGTGAACTCGTGACGAGTTCCATATTAAAGCCAGACGTACGTGCACGCATCAGCGAATATGTTGCCAAGGTCACTAATACTGCAATGCCATAGGGCTTAACAGCCAAGAGACCGGAACGTGGGGAAAATAGACATGAAGTTGTTCGTTTCATTGCTGGTCACAGATCACTAATCAGCTCGTTGAAACGGGAATTTTTTTTTGCTACCCACAACTTTACCCCTGAACTTTGTTTTCGACCACAACTGTGCTCAAAAGGAGGTGCATCATTGTTTAAGCCCATTATCTCCGACGGGATTCGATTCTCACAGGGTCAAAATACCAACAAGAAAATCCTGCTGAAGGGGTCAGGATACGTTAAAATCAGGGGTGTGAGAATTCAGTCTTTTGTACATCTGGTCTGTACAAATGTATTGGAACTTCTACCATTTCGGCTGGCAGCTTTCAGATTTTGATAATAACCGGCCACTCACACCCCTAAAAAATGGTGCTGCTGCACACATGAGGAGAATTAAGAACACCCAAACCCTGCAGACAAAGTCGACAAAATCAACTCAAAGCCAAAGTTTCATATTCTTCAAAGTGTATGTCTTTAATGTGTCTTAAATTTGTTTGTTTTTTTTTGTCTATGTACACGTACATTTCTCTTCACGTTGGACCTCCGGCCCATTTCTCTTAATATCGTAGTCTTCGGAGAGAAAACAAGAAACACACACAAAAAAAACTTCAATGGACTGATGTCGTACATATTCATTTAGTATACGGTATCTAGTTTGTCGTTCTCTTCGTGTGCACAACAATACCAGCTTCCTTCATTCAAACATTTGAAAAACTTAAACAAATCAATCGTTTTGTTCATTACTTCAATGACGACAGGCACTGCCATCTTGGCCAACTATGCACGAGTGAAGGGCCTAATAGATGAAAAAAACATGACAACACGGGTGTTCGGCAAGAGTGCGCCTCCAAGGTTTGCACCGCGGTTGCCATCGTGGGAAATGCGCATCTGAATAGGTTTATAAGTGCGGAGGTGTCGACTGGCAATGCGCTTTTGGAAAGGGTCGACCTGTTTCGCACATTGTGATTGGCCGACGCATTTCAAACTCTTGGCAGCTCACTACTGTGAAACACCCATATTCACTCATCTTTGTGAGACTTCATCAATGTTTGAGACCGGACCCGACGAAATGAGTCTTTTGGGCTTTCCCCCCAATAGAAATTCTGATTGAGTTATCTGTCTTGATTTATCCCTCAGTTTGGCATCCTTCCCAACGATATAAAGCAAGATTCTCTTCATGGCTGGCGACTTGAGACTCATTTTTTTTACAAGGTCTAGTCACTTTTGCCCTTTGCCAAACGCAGGATGCACTGCACCGCGGGGCTGGTTACAAATGGAAATTAAACAAGCTGAGTTGCTACTTGGAAACGCCCTCGTCACACACGAAACTGAAAATGGCTGCGACATTTCACAGGACCAGTATGAAACGGAACGAGCCTGACAATGAAAGCACGCAAAGTGCAATCAGATCCAGGAATATCTTGGGAATTATGGAGGGCAGAGAGGGGCAACCAACATTTGAACTTGGGTTAAATTGAAAGATTTGAAGTACAAACAAAACTTGGGACAGGAGCGTTTGAAAAAGTGAAAGCTGCCTATGCATGTACATCATTAAGAGACTTGGCAAATTTCAACGCCCCTCCAGTAATAATCTGCTCACCCAGTTAACACGCACATTTGAGGCCAAAGTAGGGACGAGGCCATTTCACAATAGGGGTGGATACAAAAGACACATTGAAAATGTGCAGTTGGGGTTCCACGGTAAAATGGAGACTAGTTTCACAGAACGACTCCAAAAAACTGGACATGTTATGATTATCAATATTCCTTAGGTGTTCTGAGCAACATACTCTTGAAAAAAACAAAACACCCAAAAACAAAGATACAACAATTTTTAGGTCATTTGATACAACGATCTCATGACAGTCCACGCAGCTGCAACCCTCTCACGTACACCCTGTTTCTTTGTAAGTTCCAAGACAAATGACTGTTCTGGGATTCAATCTACATATGCTTTACCAAGCAAAAAACTACTAATTTGAGTTACGATGGCTCATATAGTAGAACAGTAGTTTTGACCCAGATCATTTTTTTCCCCTTGTCAATCGTTCTCTTCTTTCCTCAGTTTTTTCTGTCCGAGTGAACCCTGCAGCTGCATTCACTGTCTTAAGATATTAGCTTTTCAAGTTATAGACTTTACCAACGAGCCCAACATAAACGTTTTACACAAACCGCAAGACACGGGGCTTGACTGGTGTTGAAGTCGTGCTCACTTTGCCAAACTAAATTAGCCGACTCCACAACATGCCGGTTAATTAATAAATTTAAGGGTGCTCTGAAAATCTGAACGAGCACCCATCTTTGTATGCTCACGTAAGACAGCAGCAATCATGTCTCGCATCCTGACACATCAAAGGCATTTGCGGATATTGCCAAAATCCAAACGGAGCAGGAAAGAAAAAAGGCCAATCGCAGCTTTCACTAGCTGCAACAGTTTCTTACGGAACGAGAACCATTTTTCTGCTCCGTGCCAACATCAATTAACCCTCACGGTGGAAGTCGTTTTTACACAGGGGGAAATTAAGTTTGGCGTTCTGTTTTTACCCAACTTGGATTCAAAACCCAGAACCTGTGCCTTCAGGAGATCAACTCTAACCTATCACTGCCATCACCACATGAACAAAATTTGTGATGAGCAAGATTGTAAGAAGTAGTCTGGAATTCAACCGTTGAAATGTGCAATAAGGCACCACATGTCTGAGAAAGAGCAAGGAAAAAAAAAAAAGAAGTACCGTATCATTTATTCAGAAAACGCTGCACATAGGCCGACACCATTTAAAACCAGGCTTGTGTCTTTGAAATCAGACGACAGTCGTAATTTTCAAGCCTGTGTCAGGAGAAATCACCTCAAGCTCGTGGTCCAAAAAAAAAAAATGACAGCGGACTGATGGTATGCGTAGCCGTAACTTGACACGAAGCATTCCGGATATTTGTGAAGAATTGGGATATTTTTGTGATCTCGGCGGCATTAGCCTAGTCCGATGGTGCCGGCTTACATGTATTCCTTCACTTCCACGGGTTTTGCATTTGTGTACAAGGTCGATTCAAAGAGAGCTGCAAGGCAAAGAGAGAGGGGGGAGGGATCTGGGTTCAAAGGTCAATCGTCCAGGGTCTCGATCTCCCCCATGTTGATGCGGGCGGTCGGACTGACGCTGAAGCCCAGGATGCTGCGGTCCATCCGCTGCATGCGCTTCTTCTTCTTGCCGCCATTGCCGCCCTGGTTGCCGCCGGCGCCGGGGATGCCGTTGTTGCCGTGGTGACCCGCCTCCCCCTCCTCCCAGTCCTGCGGCCGGGGCGACAAAGAGGGCGGGGAGGATGATTCGCCGCTCACAACCCCTCCTCCTCCTCCCCAGATATTGCCCTACCAAAGAGACATAGATAGAGACGTTGTGTGTGGGTGTGGGTTGCGGGCCGCCATTGTGTGGAGCCGGGCTAGGGTGGGTGGTCCCAAGTCATCGGATTTCGAGTCCGGAGAAAGAGTGGACTCTCTGCATCTGTCGACAGCAAAGCCGTGGCAACCACAATGGTTTTTAACAAAAACAAATTGACTTTTGCATAGCATTTCGTGACACCATTAACAACAGTCACAACAGTGAAAGCGAACAAATCTCCCACCACTGCATGGGTAACCCGTACAAATCTTGCAGATCATTATAACTGTACATCTGTCCGGAAAATTTAAGCAGTGGTACCAGAGGCCACGTATGCCTCGCTACGATTCCAAAGTTTGTACACACAAAGAACTGCCTTAGTCTGACCAACGTTCAGTCAATCTGCAGCTATGTCAAAGCTCAACCCGAGCGACAATGCGGGTTCTTCAAAATAGGAAATTAGGCACACAATAGTTTTCATACTGACTGGCTTTCAGCAATGCAATAACCCTGTCTACAAGGCTTCCCAGAATGCATGTGGTACGCACCATTTCCTGCTGTTTCCTCTGCTTCTCCTTGTAGCGACTGCGGTGCTCCAGGAACTGCCGAGCAAAATCGCTGCTCTCTCGCGTCTCGCCCAGGTACATCTTGACGTAGTCGCGCACCTCGTAGGGCGATTCCACGTCTTGTAGGAATGATATGAACGTGGGGACTGTAAAAAAATGACGACGGGCGACGGTGAGAAGCAATAAGATTTGAAAGTTGGCATGGTGGAGTCAGGCGACAGGCATACGGGGTGACAAGCTTCCCGACCCAAGACGTTGTCCCCTCAAGGAGGGACTGGCCAAGTTACATTTGAGGAATAAAAGCTTTCAGAGTCAATGTCTCAGAGTCAATGTCAATTTGGGAACGGCATCCTGATCTGAGATCTGAGACAGTACATCCAGTAGGATTCGAACCGGAGCCACACTCTCAACAGATTGGAATGGGCGATACTTACTGTCCACCGACTCGGCGGAACCCTGCAGCTTGTACTCGCACCACTGGGTGAACTCGTCCGTCGCCGTGTTGTTCTGGAACAACTTACGGACGTTCTCCTGCAAGACAAATTCACGGACCACAAAAATCAAAATGACACCAGTCAACAGCAGGATGGCAAGATGCAATTACTGTTCATTAATACACAGCCTTTCACCTTGTACAACAACTCGAATGAATTTAAATATGATTTGTGTCGGTCACCTAATGTTCCAAGTCGGTGTGGCTGCCCGTTAACAGCTCCGCTGACCGTATGCTCGACCTGTAATGGGTCGGTCACAGTGATTGCTTAGCCTACGACTTCTTTCAAGTATGACACTGTTTAGAGATGGAAATTGGTGCTTACAGATGAATACACCGCTTCCTCTTTTCACATACTTAGAACCTGCAGTTAATGCCTCACACATGACCTTGATCTCAGGCTAGCCACTGACTAGTCCACAAACGTTGAAATGTTTGGCGGGTGAAGCAGAGCAAGGGTTAGGGAAGCGTCCAAAATGAACAGGAGGTCACTCCAGGTTTACCCAGACGTTTCACCTGGTGGAACAGTTTTGCGAGGCACCTCGGAGGTCAAACCTCGAGTCAACCTCTATTTGATTTTGCATTCCTCATGTAAGGATCGTAAGGATCTAAGTGCAACTAGGTTCTTGATTCTTAGGTTTAAAGGAATTGCACACCAATCAATATAGCGCTGTCAACTTGATTATGTACAGAAACTCAGAAAGAACATCTGGAAGTTTCCCTTGCATCTCAGTACATTTCAACAACCAACAAAGCCTCAAAGGATCCCCCCCCAAAAAAAGGTTTTCCGGAACTGCCAAGGGGACCACGCCTGGACCTCCAGGCTGACCGGATACCGTTCACGTACCTCTTCTTTTGCCACTCTGGACTTGGAGCCGGAGCCAGTGGACTGCTGGCGCTGCATGGGGGCCGACTGCGTGGCGCTGCGAAGTGACGGGAAGTTGGCGCTGCTGCTGGGTCGTGGGGAAATGAAGGAGGGGGAGTTGGAAACGATAACAGGAGACAAGGGCGAGACTTGGGCCAAGTTTAAAGCCAGTGGGATGTGGGGTGTCATTTAGAGACCTTGTTTTCTTACACAAACGCATACGAAAGCATAAAGATATTACAAACACCGACCCCCGGTTTGCCACTTGGCGGCACATGTAGATGCCCCATTTTTAAGGGCTGGACTCAAAACCGTGGAGTTTGGCGTGAAGAGGTATCACAGAAAACAGCCAGCGGAAGGGTCGCAAAAATGACAGTTATCAAATGTTGTGAAAATTGAGGGATTTCAATAAATAGCACATTGTGAGTTCTCTCCAAAATGGCTGCAATTAGGTTCATCTTGCACTTGCATTTTTTTAGCAAAAGAACTTAGCAAATTTGAGTGACTGAACCTCTAAAAAACTTCCAAATCCTACACTCTGGAAAAATCCAGAGAAATCACATCCCTGCAGGAAATGTTGCATCAAGGAAATTTGTAGTAAAATACCACAAATGTTTGACTTGTTTCTGAATCCATGATGTCTGTTGTGGATCACTCTCAACACTTTGTTGTTCACAATAAAAACTTACTTCCTGGGAGCTTTTGCCAAGAGGGTGGCTGCCACAATGCCTTTTCAGTACTTAAACTTAAACAAGACAGGGGCCACGAAACGCCATGTGAATTTATTAGTGGTTTGGCTTAACAGTCGAGAACGTGTTGAAATTTTGTAACACCAGGGGCTAAACTTGGCGAGGTCTTGGTTAACCCAAAGAGAGAGGCCCAAGTATTACCAACCTCTGTGACTTCATCCCGGCATTGTTGTTGGCCACGGCCTCGTCCCAGAAGCCTGTTGGCTGGGAGGGGGGCTTGGGCTTGGGGTCGCCCCACACCCCGGTGCCGTCGCTGCCCCAGTTCAAGGCAGTGTTGGTGTTGGCTCCGCCCCACACAGCGGCCGTCCCCAGTGACATGGACTGCAAAGGGATCAAGTCAGCGCTGATAAGGGACTACTTGAGTATAAACATCACTCCCTTGGGAGTCAAAATTTTAAATCCAGCCGCGTCCAAAAGCTGCAGATGCGGCTTGAAATGATAAGCAAGGCCTACTGAAGCCACCGGTTAAGGGCTTGCAACCACTTCTAATAGACATGTGTGTTTATCCTGGCTCGGCCAGTTTATTTGGACAAGGGCTATGGCGGTTGCTT